ATATATATATATATATATATATATATATATATATATATATCACCTAATCCTAAATATATTTTCATCTCCATAAATATTTTATGTACATCAATGTATGCCACATTATGCAAAAATAAATAAATAAATAAAAATAGGTATGTTGTCAGTGGCAAACATGCTAATCACTTATTGATATGTGACCCTGGAGCACAAAAGCAGTGTTAAGTCGCTGGGGTATATTTGTAGCAATAGCCAAAAATACATTGTATGGGTCAAAATTATCGATTTTTCTTTTATGCCAGAAATCATTAGGATATTAAGTAAAGATCATGTTCCATGAAGATATTTTCTAAATGTCCTACTGTAAATATATTAAAACTTAATTTTTGATTAGTAATATGCATTGCTAAGAACTTCATTTGGACAACTTTAAAGGTGATTTTCTGAATATTTAGATTTTTTTGCACCCTCAGATTCCAGATTTTCAAATAGTCGTATCTCGGCCAAATCTTGTCCTCCTGTCCTAACAAACCATACATCAATGGAAACCTTATTTATTCAGTTTTCAGATTATGTATAAATCTTAATTTCAAAAAATGTACCCTTATGACTGGTTTTGTGGTCCAGGGTCACGTATGTTTATGAATAGTGGTATTGTGTTGATGAATATGATGTGTACTGTGTGAGCAGGTGTGAGATCGAGGCGACTCTAGAGCGTCTGAAGCGGCTGGAGAGAGATCTGAGCACCAAAGAACAAGTGCTGAAAGAAAGAGAGAGACGGTTAAAGATGTGGGAGAGAAAGCTCATCGAGCAGTCCAACACACCGGTGAGTCTCTGTCTTACTGCAGGTCACTGAGGACTTTGACTCGTCGCTCTAACCAAAAGTAACCGTTTACTCCAAAGTCAATCTGAATCATTTCTGTCATGCTTTACTCTCATGTTTTGGAGATGTTCTGAAGAATATTTCTAGTCTTAAATATATCTTATAGAATATTCATGCTCCTTTCCATACTATGAAAGCAGCTGACAAGGTACTGTCAAGATCCAAAAAGAGAACAATAAAATTACTATAACCCTTGTGAAAAAGTAGTACTCTTATAGTTTTAAAAAGAGTGTTTATTACGGAAATAATATAATTTAAACGATAATACTTAAGTGCAACCTGAATGTTATGTTTAATTGCATCTTAATTGCAATGAAAGGAAAATGTTTTATTTGAAAGATTTATAAATAGCTGAACAAATATCTGGATTTCATTATTACTTTGTGTTTGAAATATGGTTAAAGTGTTTACTGTCGAATGTACTGACAAACATTTATGGTAAACTAAAAAATACTTTAATGTAATTTCTATTGAAACTTGTATTTCATGTATTTAAATACATCTGTAATTACACATTTTTAATGATGAAGTTGCAATTTAGTACATTTAAAAACTAAACTTTAACTGTAGTATTGAATAACACTACAGTTAAAATGATAATCAAGTACTATACATGTGTTTTAGTGTTAGTCAACACAACAAAATTAGTGTACATTAAAATTATGTTATTAAAACATGATTTAAAATGTACTTTAAAATAAATCTTTTAATTTGACATTAACATTTGATATTTAATTCATATTATATTATCTGCAATTAGTTTTTTTTCTTTTAAATATATATAAATATAAGATTTTTGCACATTTCTTTTTCATAGTCCATAGAAAATTGTGTTGTTGTTGTTACATTAATTGTGACAGTTATTTGTGACATTCTGAGTGAACTGTTCCTTTAAGTGGTCTCTAACGCACATAGAAACAAGCCCCTCCCGTATGTTACCTGCGGCTCACCTGAGCATCATGGGATGCAGTGTTTCACTGCACAACTAAACCAGACTACAGCCTCCGCCGATCCTTTATATCTATGCATTTGGCAGTCGCTTTCATACAAATCGATATATTGCATTCAAGGGATATATTTTGTCATATCACATATTCCGTGTGGATCAAAACCACACCCTTGGTGTGCGAGTGCCGTGCTTTACTGTTTGAGCTACAGGAACGATGTATGAATAAACACACATGACAGCAGAAA